CTATTTACATATTCCTGGGGGAAGAGCAGGAATAAGAACCCAATTGTGTTTTTTTCCAGGGGGCTACAATGTTAACAAACTTAGTGAATGTGTTGTCTTGGAGATGGTAATTAGTGGAGGGGGTGAATGTAATGAGAGTGCGGGGGGGGGGGTATATTGCAGAAGGGTCTACAAGGTGTGAGGATTGTTTGATTGCTATGAAGGCAATTCATCTCCAGTCAAAAACACTCAGTTTTGCTCCCTGTTCTCGGTCTCTTTCTCTCTCCCTCTCTTTCTGTGCTTGCTCACCCATCCAGAGGAGAGAAGCCATCAATCTCTCCCCTCCACCTGAAGCTCCTCTACACTGTCGAGTAGAACAACAATTGAGAGCCATTTCCCATCTTCTCCCAGATGAACAGCAATCAAGCCAAAATACCCAGAGCATGATCTGATGGACGCTTTCCAATGAACAATTCATATCAGCTGTTTCCCTGCAGCGTGTTATTTAAGATGCAGAGTTATTTCAGCAAGTTCCCCTGCAATACTGATAATGGGGAGACAGTACATTACAGTTTTCATTCATCTTTGCTGATGAGCATATTTCTGTCTGTGTAAATAATGCAGTAGAAATGATGGAATATCAATTTAACTGCTGTGACAAAACATTACCACTTTCTCCCTTATTGGCACTTATTTAACAGCCTCAGTCTCCTTGAGAATTTTCTTGCGTGTGTAGAGAGAGTAAGATGGGGGCAGAGAAGGTAGTGATTGGGGTATAATTTATCCTATAACTTGAGAAAAAAAAAGAACTATTACATTTTCAAACATCAGTTTCTAATCCTTGCAACTGGAAATGCCACCTCTACAAAAAATGTGTTATTTGTTCCATTTCTATTTCTACCATTATTGACAAAACCACCTTAAACTAACATCCAACCACAGTGGAGATCCCCAGCACCTTCGACAAGGAGATAAAGGCCAGGAAAGCCAGGAAATTCACAGGTAATTAAGACAGTGAGCAGCTTAATTAATTAACAAAGACCTGGGCTGGAATGCAAAACACAAGGTGCTCTACCCTCTGCAGTAGATTCATATCAAACAAAACTATTTTTCTCTTTATCCGATTAAGATTAAATTCTTAAGAGAGGTTATTTTACCTCTGTAGCATCCTCACCCTAATCACCGTAAGAAATAGCTCTGCTGTCTTAATTATGTCCAAAATAAAGACAGGTCAATCACTACACACAGTGGCGTACTCAGAGTTCTGCCCAATGTGTGACACGTGACACTCTTATGGTGTCTTCACTCCCCAGGATTTCCAAAGTCCCCTGGTCTGTTCGGCTACTCGTTTGAAAATGGCTGGTGTCTCTGCCGGTGCGCAGAAGAAGGATCTCAGTTTCAGGAATGTTCTGTGTCACTGTTCTCTGGCTGGATTAAAGAGCAGCAACAACTACTTTTTGTACAGCGCTGCACATATTCTAAATGAGGCCTGACTCTAGTGTATTGTACAATTTTAACCGAACAGCCTACGATTTAAAATACTTTAATCTATGTATATCCTAACATTCTATTTGCCTTCTTATTGTTTTTTTCCCCCACTTTTCTTCTTTTCCTTCACATCCCGTGTTTCACAGTGCAGTGAAGAAGGAAATGGGAACAGATGGAGAGAAAGCACAATTCGGTCATCACCAGGCATCAGGAGAAACATACGGGAATGAGCCGCAGCAAGACCCCAACACAAAACACTTCAGCTGGTCGAACGCGTCAAGGAAGCTCTTACATCTCCAAAAAATATTGCAAGGCCCAATCTAAGCAGTGTTACACTATCACAGCCCCAGGACAGGTCAATGAAGAAATCAGCCCTGGTTAGCAAGAGGCCATAATGTAAGGAATATAAGTCGCTATGAGCTTACAGTGCTTCGTATGGTCTGCTAAGCCATCTCTCGTTACGTTAGATCTACATCATTTACTACTGACATCTGTGTTTAAAGTGATTCTACCATTTCACTTAAATTTTTTATCCCTCTTTGCAATTTTACTGCGACTCCTTTTGAAAGAGTACCAACCGTACTTAAACCATAAAGTGGTTTAAGATGGACCTCACTGAGGAAAAAAAACACACCAATGAAATTGCATTGACCTTATGTGCGCAGATACATTAGGACTGACTTCAGCCTTTCTAGAAGAGATTAATCTGTTTACTTCTCTTTCATCTTTGGCACCTGGGGCTCCTTTTTAGTAACGCTGGAGTAAACTGGGCTCTCTCCATTACATGGGAGTCGAAAAGCTGCTGACATTGGAAGAGCGCTGGCACCGAGGACTGTAAGCACGCTGACTAAGTTTCCAATGGGGGAGAGAACATTCACTTAATACAATGGAAGACAATAAACCTGAGTTTCCCAGTTAGCAGAGAGCGGTACTCCTATCTGGCACTGCCAGAATCAATATGACACTGCCTAAGGCTTCATCACGTCCCAGAGGAATGACAGCCTCTCAGCACATCAGGGCACATTATGTTAGGGAATCTGAATGCTCCTGATCATCAACACTGTAAATACTGTTCTGTGTCCCATTAACCCCCTTCAGACTGAAGACAAACTCGCCTGGACTTACGTCCCTGGTAAGGTGGAGAAGAGGCTTAGAGCTCTCATTGTTAGTCAGATCTTGGGACAAATGCAATCCATTGCCTTCTTAATTGAATCAATGATCGCTATTATGCCAGGTACAACAGAAAATGTGAACAAATTGTACTAGACGGAATGCACTCAATGCCTGTTGTCAAATTTACAATCGAGGAGATGGCAAAGACTAATTTTACCTTAATGATGTCTCTAAACAATGGCTACCTACAAAGCTTGACAAAATGGCTTTTGCTGCAACTAAAATCCATAAAATTAAGAGGCGTAACAGGCTTTTAGTGTCCCCCCCTTCAAGCAAGGGATGGATTTAGTGCCACACTTTTTATACTGCTACTTTAATGTCATAATCCCATGAAACAAAATTTTAAATAGATCAATAATCCATTAGGATTAGAGGAGAAGTGGCAGACACACTTTTCCACATCAAAGTGAATAGCAATTTACCTTCAAACAGTGATTTAGAAACTCTGTATGTGCCTCCCCAGCGAGTGAGCCTGAGTGAACGGGTGTTTAATACACTTGGAGTCCTGCTGGTTTTATAAGACACAGCGTCAGTTATTCAAATGCAAATACACAGTACTTATAATCAACATATTTCTGCCAGAATCTGCATAGCTTTATATGAGGCTAAAATCAATCCCTCTCCTGCTAAAAACTTAATTTTATTCTTGAGAAACAGGAAGCTATTGCAGTGGTTGGTTTTCTGAAGAGTTGTGATTAAAACAAACTCAGATTTCACTTTTTTCCCCCCATTCCAAAAAAAAGAACTACTTTTTACAAATCCATACTCTGGGGATCCTGTGCGTCTCAGCCTGCAAAGGAGCTCACTTAGATGTGCAGGTTTTACACAGGCCAGCTGAGACCAGGGTTCAAACAGCAGTGTGACCAAAGAACATACAGTAGGAAAGACTGCAAGGAACTGGAGACCAGGTGGCCGGTCTAGTTTAGGTTTTTCAGTGCCTATTTAATCCGAGGAGCTCATCCAGCCATTCCCTGAATCAAGAGAGGACATCAGCACCACTAAAGAGAAGGGGCACATAGATCCACACTCTCAAAACCGTTTGTGTAAAGAAAGGCCTCCTGTTCCCTGTGATAATTGTACTTCAACATACTGCAGGCCCCACTTGTCTCTTGGGGTTAGCTCCCAGATAACCCCCAGGCAGAGGGCGGCGGCCTGCCTGCGTCTGCGGTTCCAACTCTCCTGAAAGGTGCCAGGAGACTGGCAGCATGTGTGGGCGTGACTGCAGGTCCTCATTCTCTCCTGTGCAATTAATGGGGATTCAGATATTTCAGAAACAATTTGTTTTTATGCTTTTCTGTCAGATTTCGGGCTTGCCTTCACAGTCTTGTTTGTGTTTAATCTTCCAGCACACATTCTGAGCTCAGACCCACATGGAGTTTTCTTTTTCCCCCCTTGTTGTGAGTAAAGGGCAGTATGTGTAGATCATAGCCACAAAGGAAGCGTGAGGCACACTTGCGGTACCTGAAACAAATTAGTTTTTCGTCGACAGCGCTGCTGCACTTGAATGACAATTACATTGTCAATCCACATGAAAGTTACATATTAATCTCAGAGCTACTGAACAATAAATAACTGTTTCATTCTTTCATTTCATTAGAAAAGCTCATTTTGTTACTTCAGCATTATCAGGCCTCATTTCAAGGACTCCAACATGAACTTCAGCAATCTCACTAGACTGCTAGATGACTAGCAGGGCAGTGGCACTCTGGTCAGTACTGCTGCCTCACAGCTCCAGGGTCCAGGGCAGAGTCAAGGCCTGGGGCAGCAGTCTGCATGGAGTTTCAGGCATTGTGCACTCTGGTTTCTGGAGAGGCTTGATTTGCTACATTATACTACCTGGGTGACGGCCTCTTCCAAAGGCCAGCCATCTGCCATCACATCACACTTGTGAAATAAACCTAGAAAAACGTTTTTGTCTTTATGTCCACCCCATGTTTATGTTGTTTTTTTTATTTTAAACAGTAAAAACAAAACTAATTATTGTATAAAAAAACTAAAAGAATTTGGAAATAATGCACCATCAAGTTAAAGCTAACTTTAAAAAAATATTAAAAGGATTTCATCACATGATAGGTTGCGAAAGTAAGAAAAATCTTTCCGTGACCACAAAGTTTCTAACATGGGTAGCAACACAAAATGGGTGTTCAATGATAAGTTCTGCAAAATTTTCCGCTTACAAAATCAAAAGTTTTCCCTGCGCTGTGGAGACACATCACCTAGAGACAGGCCCAGTGAAATACTGCCCTTGGGCTTCTACAAGCTCTACCATGAAAGCCCAGTAGCAGACAGCAGGGAGGAGACCTTCCACTCCTCCCAGGCACGGCAGCGCAGCCGGCCTGCAGGGAAGCGCAGAGCCTCACCTCGTACAGCGTGATGATGCCGTTGGTTTCGTTCGGGGCTTTCCACTGCATGTAGATCTTCTCCTCGAAGGGGCCTCCCTGAATGGACTCCATGGGGATGGGACCAGGCACTGCAACAGAACAGCAGGGTCACCGACATCCAGAGGAGGACCCAAACGCACAGCTTCTTGTTTTAGAAGGTTCCCTTGCAAGCGTTCACACGGGAGGCAGGGCGGTCAACCCTCACAGACAGCTGAACTGAATCCACTCCATGGAACACCAACCCAAGAGATGCTCTCTTTAGCCTTGAGCCCAGCTGTCTCAGCACACCCCCTTCAGAACAGTCTGTAAATCAAAACTTAAAGAGTAGAGGGGTGAACAGCTTTAATTCTGCCCTCTCTCGAGCCCATGGCAGTGTTTCTGGACTTGCTCCAAATTCATTTATTAATTTGTCACAGCAAGGAAACATTACATAACAGCTGATTAAGAGACAGCTCAACAACTCTCAGGTGTCAGGTGTCATGCATGATTATTGTCCTGAATTGCTGAGAAGACTAGCAAGTGTCCAAAGAAGGGGGATTTCAACCAACTGTAAACCACAGAAGATCTCCTTGGCCTAAGGTCTTTCCAATCCACTCCTTTGCAGAACTCAGCTTCTACCATGACCTTAATTATTTAATTGCTTATTAGCTAAACTAATACATCAATTATAGTGCTATGTAGGAATATAACATTGTTTTACAAAACTGGCAAACACAGGTTCTTGGCACAGCTTCCTTTCCAAGCCTTTTGTCTGATTAACGAAAATCTGTAACAGAATGGTAATTCCGAAAGGATGGAAAAGGCAATAGAAATAATAATAAATAATTCCTAGTTTCATCCTGCATACAAATTATTTACAGATGTGCATGAGGCAGACTCCAAGAGGGTAGTAATTATTTTGAAATCATTTCTTAAAAACAACACCCATTTCAAGTGCAATGTTCAAACTGAAAACATCCTGATCAGATTTTAATTATGGATCTGACAGGAAGTTGCCAGCTCGGATTTCCACAACTGAGTAAGCAGATTAAATTAATGTAACAGTGGGGCACAACTAGATTTGTCATCACACTCCAGGTTTTATCTCTATCAGAGGGAGAGAAGCAAGTGACAGAAGCCTTGCAAATGATGAATGGTATTATAACATGTTAATCAGAACTGGATTTTATTTGCCTGCTCATCGCCTGCCTGCCATACTCCCCTCTCCTTCATCAGCACCAGCCTGCTCTCTTACTGTTTGGATCATCCTCTGCTGCTCAAATCCACAAAGGTCACCTGTGGTCCTATTCTTTTCACTTCAAGAGATCCATCGCCAATGGAAATTGGGACCCAAGGACTCTGATGCCTTTTAACCTACCAAACATGTGCCATATAAAACTGTTGGAATTTGCATACCGTTTAAATTACTGTCACTAAATAGTGTGACTGTTCATACAGGGCGACCATCTCAGTCCCTGGAGTCTGGTGTTTGTTGCGTGGTCTTTCAACCTGAGTAGTCTCAATTAGCCTAATTATTTTCTTGTACATGAAGGTCTTACAACTGATTACTCAAAACATTCACTTCATTAAAGGTGCATGTATTTTGCAATTCAGAGGTACTAATTGCTTTAAACTTAAAACTCCTTCACCAGGAGCTGGGGTGGAACAAACCCAGAAGACACTGGGCTCTCCTGCTGCTGACATGGAAGCCCTGGTTCACCCTGCCTGCTGGACCTGACACTCCTCTGGGGATGCACTGGGGTGTGTCAAGCTGCTGGAGCTCGAGGGCTGTTTCTGGGACAGTCTGCAGGCGGGGGGAGACCATGTGTGAAGGCCATACTAGAGAAAGCTAAGCTAAGTACCAAGAACAGCAGGGTTCATCAGGACACTGCAGCCATTCTGAGCAGGCAATCGGAACATGAAACGGAGTTGCTCAGAATGTTAGAAAGAGCAGAAGTTGGTCTTCGCTATCCTCCAGCATCTCAACAAGAACGTGGGAACAAAAACAAATCAGCTAGAACTACACATAACACCACCTTCTCACTCAAAACAGCTGCACTGCTGGATCTATTTTCATTTTTTATTGCCCGGCATTAAAAAAAGCCAGAATAAAAGTGAGCTGTAAGTGGATAAGATGCATAGGGACCCTAAGGAAAAACATTAAATTAAACTCAGCATACAAATATGATGAGATCGAGAAACAGCCCTCATCATCTTGAGCAATAACACACAACATGATTTAGTGTAACGATCTTCTACTCTGTGAACTTTCTGAATTCATCTGCTATAAGGACTTTTTTATTATATTAAAAGAGGACTTAAAATGACATCTATTAAAAATGTATGTACATGCTTTGGTAAGCAGGGCTGTGATGGAGTCGACACCACGCTTCTTATTCAAAAACAGAATCAATGCTTTTTCTTTCTATTTCACATTCATAAAGTAAATGTATGTATGCCCATCTCTCCATGGAAATGAGGGAAAGATTTAATATTGCAGCCTTAAATTTGAACTGAAATCTTCCAATGCAGTAACAAATCATTTTCAGAATTAATTTTATTAGTCTACTCCCCATTTTCAGCTTTTTGTATTCTCTGCATTTTGTTTCTTTGTTCAAAACAAAAGAAACGCAAAAAAACAAAACCAAACCAAGAGGAGGAACTGCTGCCACTGCGCCACTCTCTGAACACTTTCTCATCACCAAGTCACCATTGATCCCCTCATGATGATCATCATCGATATTGGTAATAAAAATGACGATGATGCTATTGACAGCAGAGGAAAGCAGCTGCAGAGACTGAGCAATGACATGAGAGAAAGTCAACCGACACAGGTACTGGGCCGTCTCTCTCAGGCCTCCACAGTGTGTGAAGTGGCTCGTGGGCAGTCGCGTTCTGTTTTTCACCTGTCCAAGCGAGTGGAGAGCTGGAATGGCCACTGTCGGGCCTCATTACTGAGGAAGTGGACAGGGCCCGCGGAAGGTGGGGTGTCCCGGGGCACAGTTAGCCAGCAGACCTCCTACTCCCCACCCCAGCCCGCTCCCAAAGTGTCCGCTTGCATTTCACAGGGAGCAGGAGATGGGTGCCAGGAAAGCAGGGCGTTATTCCGCAAGACTGCCTCCTTTAACAGCGAGGCAGGGGAAAGGACACAGCAACACGGACCCGAGACGGGTCAAAGTGGAAGGAAATGTTACCCAGCCTTCACCACAAAACACCCAGGAAAAGAAGCAGAAACTCAAGGGCAAAAGCAGAGATTCCGTTTGCATAATTAACTTCTGAATATAGGTCAAATCCATGATTTAGAGCACAAACATACCAGTTCTATTTGTTTGTTTCCTAATTCCAGCTTCCAAAGCTGTGTGGAAAGTGGCTTTGTTATAAATGGGAAGGCCTTAAGGCAACAATAAATAAGTACACAAATAAATAAGCCGTCCACATTTGAGATAAGGAACGCAATTAAGCATTCAAAAGTTTTTTAGACACTTTAAAAATATATTTTAATGCAATTAAGGGTTTAATTGGCACAAACATTGAACCAGAAAGAGTAATTGCAGTGTTCTTTCTTCTGAAAAACGCCTATAAATTAAGATCCGATCTAGAAATAGGCATCTAGTTTTTAAAAAAAATCAAGCATGTTACAATTTAAAAAACACCAATTAGAAGCACAGAGTATGTGGGCTGTGCACAGAGTTAAAAAAGGAGATTAATGACCATTCAATAAATAGCAATTACATGCAGTTATTTTAAAGAAGACTAGGAATTAACACCTTTACTGCAGTGGTCATTCTGCTGAGTTATTACCAGGCAAGCAAGTGAGTGAGTTTTATTTTTACTGCTATTACAATTTCTACTGTACATATTGGTCTTTTTGCAAACCTCAATTTCAGAGCAGCACAGCAGAAACGTAAGCACAATAACTGCTTCTGCTGCATCCCCGGTCCTCTCCTCCCAGACAAAGGTCCCAATCTAATTAGCCTGGAGCAGGAGGCCAGAAAGAGAGGAAGGCCAAGCAGTACACCAAGTGAACCAAGCGCTAATTGAATAAAGGGGTAAAAAATTCATTCACCAGTCACCTGCATGTTTGCTTTTCTAAAATTGAATTCATTTAGTGTTCATTCCTATGTCTTTGTTTCCTACCCCCACCCCCACCGGGGAACCTGGATTCAGCATGTACTCATTCTTGACTCGGTTTTGAGATGGTGTTCAGGAATGGGGAAAAAGCAGGCAGTGTGCTGCAGTCCTGCACTGGTTCCATGCACAGTAGATGCAAGCCACACATTGTGCTGAGAGGGACACCGGATAAACAGAATGAACCAAAAAGAAAAACACAAAGCCATGAGCTCTGTGCTGATATCTGTTTCCTGCTTGCAAGTCTGTCTTATAAATATGCTTTCATAGCAGTGGTTCTGCATTAACTAAACTATAAATGCACCTTGGAAGCAAAGCTTGTCATTTAGCAGTCGTTAACTCACATTGATCAGAGTCTTCAAATGCTAATTACAATAGTTCAAGGTAACCATACCATGAGAAGCCAATATGTAATAGCTGCTCCATCTCATTCGCCAATCAAATATAATTGACTTGTCAGTGTTCCTCATTATTAACATAATTTGAAGCTAAAGGCTACTTATTGTACTACAAAATAGAGATCTATCAGGATTAACTTCTATCATAACACAATTTGGATACATTTCTAATAGATCACCATAGGATAGTTTCTGTATAAAGAAGGAAACAGAGCAGAGTAATGCAAATTTCTGCTGCAGAGCAGATTATGTGCATTATGTGAATCAGATTATAAAGATAATTTCTGACCATTGTATTCTTTAAAAAACCTTTTAACAAAAAAAGACAAGTCGGTCGATGGTGCTGGTGTCAGCAGTGGGATCTTACCATCCTCCTCAGTCTGCTTGACGATTTCCTCGCTCTCCTTGTGTCCCTCGGGGTTGGCGAGAACCAGCCGCAGGCGCACAGTAACGAACGGCCTCAGTCCGCGCAGGGTGTAACGAGAGGAGGCCTGGATGAGCTCCTCCGCCGCAAACTCGTGCTGGCTGAAGACGTACTGGTACTGTACCGTGAGGTTGTAGCTGTGGCAGCGCGTCACTGCATAGCTGAAGGGATCCCACTGCAGCGTCAGCTGCCGGGCTCGAATGTCCACAACACCCACATTCTGCGGCCCGTGGACCGGATCTGAGAGAAAGAAGACACAGACACAAAGACAACTCAAATCAGGGATGTCGAAGAGGTTCCATTGTACTGATGCTAACCTGTCCTCCAGTACTCTCCATGTCAGAGGTCGTCGAAATAAACCAAACTTAAATTCAGATGCATACACAAGTTTATTGTTTTACCAGCATCAGTGCAAGTTCCAGATCTCTCCGTCAATGAGTGACCGACACCGCCATGAGAACTATTTTACAGACATCTAGACCGGGATCCTTAGTTTTTGCTTTTTTGTCACCTTCCTTCAAGTGGAACAAGCAGAACACACAAGCATATTTACACAGCCAAGTGTGTTTCTTATTTACAACATGGATGCAAACTGTTGAAAGATGTCATTTATTTAGAATGTCTGGCAGCCAGAGAGAGCAAAGAGTTGGCACAGATACAGCACCTCTTTCTGTAAGCAATGTGGGAATCGTGTTGCATTTTTTAAGCAGTGCTCTTAAAAGTCCATCAGGTTGGTCTGGATCAGACAAGGCTCATATAAGGTGGCAGAGGGGGGTCAGCTAAAATGAGCTCAGCACTGTCTTTGGAAGATCAAATGCTTGAAGGGGTTCACCTCCTGCCTTGATTCTAAAACTACAGAACATTTCTTCCCTCACCCATAATAAGTCGAGGGCAGACACGGTCATTCAGTGATGAATCATGGCATCCACATTGAGACAAACAGCTATTCAAAGACACCTGTATGTGGGTGCAACACTTAAATAAAACCACATGGATGCAATTTACTCAATGCCTCCTCTCAGGTGTGGCATTAAAGGAGCAAGGGGAACACACCATGCACACACAGACCACTTGGCTACATAATGCAAACCTTTGCATTTCCACTCCACAGGCTGAATTATCTCCAGCAAGGACAGAGCTGAAACTCCACTGATTGTTAGAGCAGCCAACACCCCAGCCACCCAGACTATTAAAACTGGAGAAGTCTGGCAGGGAAGTATTTAGAGTATTTCAGAAAAACTGAACAGGTGACTCAATTCGCAATAATAGTCTTAGATTTAAAAGTGCCAGCTTGAATTTTAGCTTTGTGCTAAAAACAACAGGGACTGGACAACTATGCTGCCTGATTCCCATACTAAACACACAGCATTGCTCCACTCAGTTTGACACAGCTTGGCACAGATTTTATCCCAGATCTGCCTCCAGAAAGATGCCAGCTACAATCCGCTCCTCTCCTCCCCTTGTTGTGAACTGGGGCTTCACCAGTCAGAGCTGATCGATGAGTGCGGAGCGGGGTCATTAATTCGAGACTTCGGGGAGCTACAGAGAGGGAAAAACAGGGATGAAATCAATCTTCCCGCTGGCTCCTCTCACACTGCTTCTTGCTGTGCAGCTCTGCCACTCTGCCATTAATCACAGAGTTTTTGTCAACAGGGTAAAGAGGAAATTGCAAGCAATAAACATATCAAGGGATGACTGCGAGAGGTGATTGCGTGGGACTTTAAAGTTAGGCCATTTTGAGGGAAAAAACAAAAATATGATAAGTCAATGTCAGCTGCTACCAATTTTAGAGATTTGTTATCTCCCCGGAGAGAGCCTACAGAGTGGCGATGGCAGCCATGTTCGTTTTGTTTCTCGTTGTATCAGACAAGCGTAGTTTTGACATTTCGCGCGGGAAGAGCAAGGCAACCATCTGCAGATGCTAGAATCTGCGCAGGTGAGCGGAGATGGGGTGGGGGGAGCCAGGTACCGATGCCTGCCCTTGTCTGTCGAACACCAGGGCGTGCTGCTCTGCGCGGCGAGCTCCTGGGACGAGCGTGCCGTACTTTGACTTCGAGAACGCAGATCTCGATGGGCTCGCCCTGACAATCGAGCTCTTCTGGGAACTGCCCACAGCTTCCCTGGAGGCGTTGTTTCTTTTTTCAAGAGCATGTCGGTAATTATCTGGGATTTCCGTTTGCTTGAACTCTTTGGTTACCGGGCCGATAACTTCCTTAATGAAACCTGCACACAAACCGGCTGACCCCAGAGCGCCTGGGCTCACGTCTCCAATACGCAGCGGTCCGTTTCAAAGTACTGTAGATGGGAAACGAAAACAAAAAACAGCCTTTTCCTTCATTCCGCAAACTGCAGTTTCTTTACCCTCTACATGCCATGACCCTCTTTATCGTCCAAACAACGCTGCACAAACTACAGACATTACTTGGATTAACAACAAACAGAGCTGATAGAGAGGAAAATCCATTTTTACTTTTAATTGGTTTTCTATTCTTGGTTTTTTAATTCAGTCTTTCTTTGTCATTTTTTAGGTTTGTTTAGTTAAATGCAGTCTTCGTTACCCCCCCCGAGACACAACAACTCAAATGAAATTGCATTGTAACTCACACAACAGTACTAATGCTTTTCGCATCACTGCTGCTGCGATTTAAAGTGAAAGGGCATAAGTTCAGCCAAGACCGAAACTGAAGAGTTTAGACTGGGAAGCTGCATCAGTGTGGAATTAACCTCTGAGTTTTTGAAAAGCAAAAAACTCCAGGATTTCAAGTGTAAAAATTAACGCGATGAGAAACTGGTATCCATTTTATTCTTGTCCACCTCCCAGGTGTGCTGTGTTAATTCACAGCACAGAGTGAAAGTGATGAGCTGGTGATTCAGTGGATGTCGCACTGCAACACATCTCTGCCAGATAACAGTGGCTGCGTGTTTAAGAAATGACAGCTCATCCAACTCAACCAGTTAATAATAGTTAAGTGATCGGACAATCTCATCCCGCCATTTCTTGAAGGAAGCCTGGGTATGAACCTTATCAGCATGGCTGGCTCTCCTGTACCAGACCTCCACAACCGTTTATGTAAACACAGCAACAAACCAATTTACGTCACACAGTGAGAATACAGAAAATAAGGCAAATGTTTTGGTTTTGTTTACTCTTTCTACAGGTCGGGCAGTGTAATTATTTCCCTGGGCTTCCATCTCCTGCAGAGCTCTGCAGTCTAATTGGTTACCCAGCGCTGTTGTGCTTCTTTACCAAAAGAAAAAAAAACTCATTTCTATTCTACTCCAGCAATTTCCTGCTTGCTAACCCCACAGGGCTGTGACAATCCTGGTCCTGTAAATTCACAGAAAGAGGCTCAAAGTGATGCTAAATGAAGACAATTGGGCTTCGCTCAAAGGTTAACTACCTGCTGCTGAAGCCTAATTACCAGAACCCAGGACTGTAATGACAAAGCCATGAGCAGAACGTGCTCACTGACCTGAGCACAGTGCCATCGGACTGGCAGAACGCTGGAGAAGTGACAGGCATGGTCTTTATTTCCACTAATGTGTGTGTAGCACAGGTACCTGAAAGCAAGACTGACAGATAATTAGGAACTTAATCCGGCGCGTGTTGCTGGGAAGCTCCGCAGGCTTGCTCCCGGGCTCGGCGCGGGGCTCGGCGCGGGGCTCGGCGCGGGGCTCGGCGCGCTCTGCGGAGCCGTCGCGCCGATTAGAGCACGAGTGCTGCTGTCCAGCAGCTACTGTCATCCACCTGCAGACACGCTGCCTGGGCAGGGAAGCAGGGGAGAGGCTTTGAGGTCCTTCCTGGTTCCGCACACACTGCCGAGACGACAAGACACGAGGCACTAATCGCGCTTATGAACAGCAGTCGCCAGTTTTATGGCTCCAGCTGAAACATTTTTTCAGTTTTTCCCCAACCCATTGTTGCTCCGTGCACAGCGAAGCCTCCTGGCCTTGGCCCATCCCTCAATCCCACACTGGAGCATTTGCATTTGAAATGAGCAAGAGAGGGAGAAACTAAATGGATTCACAGCTGCCCCCTCCCAGCACAGCACAGAAAGAAGCTTTTAAATGAAAGCTGGGAGTGATTATGGAAGATGGGTTATCCTGAGAGACAGAGCAGGTTTGAAATCAATCTTTTCGTACATAAATATATCTACGGCCGCACAACTGTTTGATTACATTTTTCATGCAGTCTAAGTGGAGCACTTCCCCCCCACACTGTTTTATGTAGCACTGGACACACAAGTCAAGTGCTCCAGCGAGATCTTTCATGCGTGCAATTATTGAAAAGTCAGTACTTGTTAGACATTTTCAGTGGATATTGCTGTTCACAGGGAGTTGCCTTCCAGATATCAGTGTGATTATTAACACATCAATATCCTTAAAAATGAGTAACCCATCATCAGAATGGGGATCTGAAATGGAAGCTCTTCCTAGAAAAGGTTTCAGCATTAATTTCTCAAGATTAAAAATGCCAGCTGGCTGGTTATATCATTCAGAACTCAAGTCCTTGCTCCTCCCCCTCGGTGTAACACTGCACCACAGAGTGGGAATCTAAGATGATGACCACGCAGAAATAAACAAAATTGCAAGCATGACCCGGGGAAAAACAGAATTTAAAACAGCAGCATCAAGGACTGGAATAGTACAATAGTACCAGGCCCCTCCGATGACAATGACATGGGAGTCTGCCCTCCATTCATCACAACGACATTAAGAACAGAACCCAGTTCTGTCTACTGCTAGCTACCAAACGCGTGCCTACCCATAGTTCATCGTGACTGTGAGCTCTATATACTGATGCACTGAAAAAGCTGCAGGAAGTCTTTCATCAACAACTCATTGGGCACACAATGTTGTTTTAGTTTTACAGCATAAGCAGAGAGGTTTGTATGAGTAGTATCGATCAAGTCATGCAATTTCATCAAAATGCCAAGTGCTCAGAGTTTGAGTTGAGTTAAAATTGCCAAAGCGAGTTGATCAAGAATCAGTTTAAGCAGCCATTTGAAAGACACCATTTTAATTAACGCAAGGACAGAGAAAGACGGGCTTATGCTCCACACGAGAAATAAAGATCTTCTGGCTGCTGTCCCCATGATTGAAGACAGCCTGTCTGTGAGGAAAGGGCCCAGAAGAGTGAAACGTTCTGCTTCAGCTACTCCGCTGATTGTCCAGTGAAACGAGCTCTTGCAGTGTAGAAGGTCAGCTCACCAGCCAAGGACTGTCGCGCACACGTCCGA